ATTGCACTGATAAAAGATCGTGAAAATGAAGCTGGTTTTACTCATAGAATGCAACATTACATGTGAAGTGTCAAGGTTCAGCAAATACAGCCTCCAACACTTCTCTTCTTTGAGTCCCAGCTCTGTATTCAGTATGTGAGATATCCCTGAGAACTGCTCCAGGTCTTGTTGCAATGGGAAATGTACAGATAATATTAGCACTGAATCAATAATGCCTTCAGAACATGAGCCGGTTCTAACTGGAACGTTTTCTTAGCTTTCTACAGATGATTAGTAATATCTACACAACAGAGATGCTCCTTAAGTCTCCTTAAGAGTCAGCTGGACTTACAATATCACCAAATCACAAGCTCAGAATCCCTCTCGGCTATATGGCTTTATATGGTTCACTGATCTAATTGATAGATAACTGTGATAGACACTTGGTTCATCTGATCCCCTGCAGAGTGTTTTTTGAAAGTGCCTGCCATTTTCCATTAATCTTTGAATTTTTTCCCCTCTAAAATTCTGTATCGGTCTCAAAAATCCCGTATCGGTTACGCTGTATTTAAATCTGCAACACAGCCACTGATACAGCACAGCTGTTGTCATTAACCTGTATTTATGTTGATTCTGTCAGACACTGTCACGTGTGTGTGTGTGTGTGTGTGTGTGTGTGTGAGTGACTGAAAAGAAGCTGTAGAAGAAGGGCTATGGCTGTTTTGTGGACAGAGGTCTACAAAAACAACCTGCAGGCCTGGGCTGATCATCACAACAGTTTTAACTTAGGAGAATGGGACTATGACTAAAAAGCACCATTTACAGAGCAAAACACACACACACACACACACACACACACAGCTGTGAAGTCTGCCTGGCAGTGTGCTGACACTGCTTTGGTGTTTTTGGCCAGTGGGTGTGAAGTGTGTGTATATGTGGTCACCTCAGTGCCAAACTTAGGCTCCCACTCTTTTTAAGAAATCCTTTTCCATGACCTTTCCAGGAGTTTTTCTTAACAATACAGAACAGCACTCGCTCACAAACAGTTTTATCATTTACAGGTAGGCTTAGCATTCACACATTTTACTGCACTTTTATTGCTCCTTGCTTAATGACGCAGGGTTCATTACAGGTAGGTAGGATATCATACTTCTCCTCTCAGGACCAGCAAGAGCCAATCACTTCAGCTCATTCAATCAACATATTAATAGTCATGATCTCTAAGAGCAAAATGAGCTATCATGCTTGGCTGCGTGTTGTTCTAGCAATATGAGTAATGTGCGCAAGAGGGTTCCAGTGTTCTGAAGAGCTTGTTAACAGTTCAGCATTAGTCCATAGTTTCTGTCAGTTACACCAAACCCCTAGGTTACACTGACTGTATTACTGCTCTGTACTCAACTGTAATAAATGCATTTTGAAAGTGGACTTTTCCAGGCAAACCTAAATTCTACATGTACACAACCCATCATCGTTGTTGTCATTGTCGTCTTCATCTTTTTCATGTTCATCATCATCATCATCAGTCACTACTATTAGTGTAGTTGTTGCTACTGTTGTTGCTGGGCACCTTTAACTCTGTCCTTCTGTCGTTACCTCTGTTCTCTCTCTCTCTCTCTCTCTCTCTCTCTCTCTCTCTCTCTCACCCCAACTGGTCGAGACAGACGACCACCCACCTAGAGCCGAAGGATCTGTCCTAGGTTTCTGCCTTTTAATCCTTTCCTTACCCCCGTCGCCAAGGTCTTGCTCATGGTGGTACTGTTGGGTCTCTGTAAATAATGTTATAAAGAGTTCGGTCTAGGCCTGCTCTATTTGAAAAGTGTCCTGAGATAACTTCTGTTATGAATTGGAACTGTTTAAAATTGAATTGAATTGAATTGAATCATAAATCTTAACCTCAACCATTCACATCAAATATCTGGTCATTCTGAAAATGTGCAACAAAAGAAATGAATAATAATAATTTATTCTGAATTCTCATGCATTAGGCTCAGACTTTATGTTCTATAAAAGCCAAAGTATGTTAGTGAAGTTTTCTGATTAACTTTACATGGAAAAATAGATTTGTTAGATTTGGTAAGAACAGAGGGTATTGAGTCTTAGCACTCTACATCTCAGCCTTTCTTGTCATTAAGTGTGCATACATTTTTGAAATTCTTTTTAAAATACAAAAAGGTGGAATGATCAGTTATCTTATCGGTATCGGCCATGAGAAGCAAATAATTAACAGTTATTGTATCGGCTGAAAACAAATCCATATTGTGCATCCGAACAAGAGGGTGAAATTGCGATACAAATATGTGAGAATTTCGAATCAGTAGATGAAAAAGAATTTGCAGTATCAAGGCGCAAAGACTTCAGTTTGACTTCACAAAATGAAACATGTATTTTTTTTCACAGTTGATGCACTGCCTCTAAAATAAAGAAGGATTCTATGATTTGATAAAGAAAATATATTTTGTAGATTTTTGTCTGAGAAATAAAGGAAACATTTTCAGTCATAACCTGTCTTCAATCTCATTTTGTAAAATAAAAAACACGAGAAAATCGTCCTGTGAACCCAGTATCGAACTGTGAGTTCAGTGTATCGTTACATCCCTACTAAACAGCCTTACAATGAAAACAATATTCTAAATAATAAATCGATTTAAAATGAATAAAATGGTGAGGAAATATGTGGTTTGCTTAGTGCCCAGTGTGTGTATGATGTGGGTTTGCAGAGTCAGTGCACACATTTCCTTTGTTCTTGTATGCTTCATTTAGACCATCATTAACAAGATCAAGCCTGGATTGATTTATTTTTTGTAATTTAACATCATCCCAATCATCATATCTCTTATGTAATTTAATCAGCACAGAATGACAGGATGGTCTGAGTCGGTGAAAGAAAATGTAACAACAAAGTAGCCGGTGATTTTTTAAAATGGAAGTTATTGTCTGATTTGAAACCCCATCAAAAGTAAGAATAATTGATAACGGCACAATGTTAATAAATGTTGCTTTCAGGGTCTAAAGTGCATAGTGCTGCTAGTTTAAAATATGGTTTGATATAAAACTTGGTGAATGGTTTAACTGTGCGTATTTTTAACAATTTCAGCACATTCTAACAACGCATTTAATCTCTAATCACAAAGTATGCAACTTGTACAGCGTGATGTAGAAACTTGAAGCCACCAGTGCACATACACTGAGAATGGACTTTACAGTGAAGTAGGAGACATCTTGTGTCCAGCAGCAAAACTTTAGAAATCAACAACGTTTGCATATTCAGAGATTCTGGAATTCTTAATGAGGTAGGAGGAGGAGATTACCTTTTAAGGATTTCTATGTGGAAATTATATGTGGAAAGAACACAAGACACACACTGTTGTTCCAGTAAGACTATTTGTACAAATACATGCCTGAGGGGGATCTTTAATAAAAACACCAGCATTAGTTAACTGACTTGAACAACTATGACAGAATTAGTGTGTACTGTGTTGTGATTTTTAGTTTTAGACCTTTTGAGCTGTCTGCATATGGTCTCATTGAGACTTTTGACACGTTACATGTCTTGTTTTATAGGGTTGTAACAATACAATGACAATCAATCAATTCAAGTTTATTTGAATAGTGACAATTTATAACAGGGTTATCGCAGGACACTTTTTAAATAGAGCAGGTCTAGACTGTACTCCGTATTCACCAACAGCATAAGTAAGCACTTGCAACGGCGGCAAGGAAAACTTCCAATCAGAGCCAAGAAAGATGGAAAGAGGCTTTTGGCTGGTGGCTTGAAGATAGCTGTTTGTTGAGTCTCATTCCCAGCATCGAAATGTGACGCCCAGGGAATTAGACTTGACAATCAACTATCATTCTTGGCTCTGATTGGTTGTTTTCATTCAGACCCGGTGGATTCTTGCAAATACCATTAGGAGCACTAGGAGGAGTCAGAGGAACCTGATTGTTTCACAGATTATCTGTCTCATGTACTACAGTCAGGATATAGTGAAAGTTTAAGTGAATATGACAAAAAGTTATTTATTACAAAGTTACCTACTGCAGCTTTAATGGCCATATGTGATACTGTCTCATATCAATTGCAGGCACCTGAATGGAATCAAGATTGTATGGTGGCAGACTTTGTGATATTGGCAAACCCCATATCTTTGTCCAAACAGTATCATGATGGAACTGGTGATTTACACCCCTGATGTTCTGTTGTGTGTGTGGTCTCCAATTAGAGTAGCTGCTACATTACTGAGGATCCAACAAAAAAGGACCTTTTAATGTAGCAGTGAGTGAGCTTACAGGGATCTGTGGAGGCACTGTGCAGTGGGCTAGCGGATAATAACATTTGGTTTAAGATGCTAGTACACATATAACAGCTAGCCCAAAGACCTGATGTAATGCCTTACATCCATATGGGAGAAAGCTAAGCTCCGCCTCTAACTGGGCAGCTTCACATTAAATAGTAAGCCGCAAATGAGGCAGTGGAGAAAGTAGTAAGGTTTATAAAGACATTGATACACGGGAGAAAGTCTTTAACGTGTCCAGCTGCGTTTTCTTCCCCAAACACACATTCCAGCTTCTTTTTCACTTTGAAATCACAAAGTCTGCTTGACACCCGACACCGAGCAGGAATGGCTGGAGCTGCCGAGGCCCGAGAAAATAGCCCAGGCTGCCTTCAAACTCCATTCCTGCTCCGACGCATAAACTCACAAACTCCAGCGGCTGTACACAGCTAGAAGGACCGTGTATTTAGCCCGGGTTTACCCTCCGGTGCGCCGCGCACTCTCCACGCAAACTTTCGACACTTCCATCGCAACTATTGTGTTGTTGTACCCTTGGGACATAAAAACCTCAACTTTCAGGCGAGGAATCACAGCTAGCGTTGTCTCAGCGCGGGGGGGACGTTAGAGGGGAGTGAGGCAGAGACACAATGGGAGCACAGCGCGTTAACTACTGTGTTCTTATCGTGTCTGGTCCCGGTAAGCCTCCACAGTCCCTAAGGATCCATGTTGTGAACAAAAAAGTGAACGTACCGTCAACCGCCGACAGCAGGGAACTCCACAGCAGCAACCCCAGCAGCAGACCGCCCATTGCAACTCCTCTGCGCGTTAAATCCATAACTCCCGCTCCATTCTCGGTTATTTACTCCTTAATTAAGTTGTAAAGACGTCCACTTTTCCGTATGTACATGTACACACCTGGGCCCGGGTTCCGTTCTACTGCTAGCTGTGTGTCTGCACGCGTGTGTGTGTGTGTGTGTGTGTGTGTGTGTGTGTGCGCTCCAGTGTGTGTCCCTCTCTTTACACTGCACTTTTTTTCCCCTTCCCCAGTTAGGGCGCTCGCGCTTTACTTATACTTTGGACTGTCGAGCTCGCGCACGGAGAGAAAGGGCAGGCAGACGTGGTGTGACGTCATCCGACACGAGGCAACAAAAAGGCATTTCCACACTAACGCTGGTTCTGTTGGTGGAATGTGTGTCTCCTAGAAAAAGAGTAATAACTGTCATATAGCCTACGTGGCTTATTTTCTACTGGAACAACCTCTGTGTTTCTCATTATTTTCAAAAGTTAGTATTTTACAATACTATGCCAAAATATTGAGAAACTTTCTCACTATTTTGAGATAGTAAGTCATGATTTTTTATTTTAAATTTCTCATTATAATGACTTACAGACTCCTTTTTTCTGTCACATTGACGGGAATGGGCTTCCATAGGTCCATACCTGGGCTGGAAGAAAATACCTTATAAACTCTATTCTTTTCATTCAGCTCTTTACTCATTTATTTAAGTGCATATTCTATTTTGTATCTTTTTATCTGTATTTATATTTTTCTAGCTTGATTGTGATTCCTATGCACCAATGTACCCAGGCAAATTCCTCATATGTGAAAACTTACTGGGCAATAAATCTGATTGTGATTCTGAAATATTTTTATTTCAAAAAAGGTCAAGGAAGTATCTTTTAAAATAATTAATCGCTTTTATTTTTACAAAGATATAAAAAGAACATTGATGTAAGATGCTAATTTTTCAACTGGCTCCAGAAGATGTGTGTTGTTTATTTTAGTCTTGCCCCTGTTCTTGTTCTTTTTGGAAGATATTTGTTCTTTTATTTCCCAGTATATTGTTTCTGATTTTACCCTTTCATATGAAAATAGATTCTACAGTAGTAGTAGTTAATTTTTCTAATCATTCAATTCAATTCAATTCAATTTTATTTGTATAGCGCCAATTCATAACAGAAGTTATCTCAGGACACTTTTCAAATAGAGCAGGTCTAGACCGAACTCTTTAAAACATTAATTACAGAGACCCAACAGTACCACCATGAGCAAGCACTTGGCGACAAGGGCAAGGAAAAACTGCCTGGAGGAAACTAGTTTGGAAGATGGAAACATTCGGCCTGAGAATATTCCATTCCTTTGATTTTAACAAACAAAACTGGATATTGTGGGGAGTAGCAGAAAAGTAACTTATTAGTAGTGTAACTAATTACTGTTGGCAATGAGTAATAAATAAAGTAATAAATTACAGTTTTTGAGTAACTCGCCCGACACTGCCTGTCAGCCAGTTGTGTTTGTATTGTAATACCTATTCTGAACTCTCTCCTGACAAATGCCAACAACAACATTATTATTTAAATAAACTAATACTAAAAGGAATAAAATACTAAATTAAAACTAAACATTTTTCAACAATAAAAAGTCAGGTGTAATGAGCAAACACACTCTGGAACTGAAACTAAACTGAATATAAAACAAAAATGTAAAAAAATAATAATAATAAAACAAATAAATAACTAGTTTGGTTACAAGGAATGTGACAGGAAGTCTGTTCACAGTTCTATTTGATTAGTTTTTATCCCTTCACACGTATCAACTGCAACGATTTTATATCTTTGTTGTTGTACATGCACTGTATTTTTATGTCTATATGACTTATGTTTCTGAAATAAAGTTTAATTAAATAGAATTGAATATATTTACCAATCAAAATTTTAAAGCAAAAATCCAAACTTTTCAGAACTCAGTGTCCATATTCAATATATTTATTCTATATCTGAATTTACAAACAGCTGATAATAACCATGGTAGGCTTTACATTAGATCTATTTAACTATTTATTATTTAAAATTCTAAAGCAAGATTATAATGGATACAATGAACTCCTACAAAATTCATTCAATCACGATATATCCTTCCTAAGTCCCGCCCCTTTTGCATCCTCTGTCAACTTTCTCATTTCCTTCGCTTAGATGTGCTATGTGCTCGTAAGCATGTGTCACATTTAGTTGTACAGGAAGAAAAGTTAATTGGATTGGATATAAAAGTACAAAAATAGATTTTTTTGGTAAAATCTTTTGGCATACTTGCTACATGTTAAATAAGGGTACAATGTGACAATATGATCTTAAAGGGTTAAACAGGCCTTTTTCATTTAACAAAGGTTCAGTCACTGAGAATTTGATTTTGGGTTTCTTTTCAGTGCAAAAAATCATAAAATGTATGACACTATGTGACCCCAACTATTAAAAGAGGGAGAGACAGATCCAGTCTTTCTTACCATCATAGCGTACCATCATAATGCAGCTTTAATGCTGCTGCCAGAACAACTGTTGCTATACTCAATGGAAACAGCTGCCCTCCCTACACATTGTGCATGGTATTTTACTTCTTCGGACACATTTCTTTTAGAGAGTTCAGATCCATTGCCAAAACAGTGTAATATCAATGTGTTAGGTTATGCCAGAGAACAGATCAAGGCTTTGATTGTGCAGCTTGTCTTTATTTAAACCACCTGTAGATATTGGAGGGTTGTCTTGTTTTGTATGTGTTGAGTATTAACTGGCAAAACACAGCAACCAGCTCAAACTGTTACAGTTATGTGGGTGCTTTAATTTTTGTGCAAGGTTGCTAAAAATCCTAAATCAGCTTTGTTAGTTTGTTTATATTATGTCCTCCTCATGTAAAACAAGATAAACCACCCTGACAGTTAAGCATTTTATGTGGTGTGCCTTGCACATTTGTAACTATGTTGTTATGTGGCATTACTGTCTTTTAGAAATTACCGTTTCATACTACTAAGTTGTTTTGTAAGACATCCTTGTTGCCTGGATGACATTCAGTTTCTTCCCATGAAGAAGGCACAACGTTTTTGTAATGCAAAAAAATCTTTGGGACATGGATGGTGGGTCACACTTATGTTGACCCATCATCGTTCAATTTTAAATGGTAAATGGACCTGTACTTGTATAGCTCCTTTCTAGTCTTCCAACCACTCTTTTACACTACGTGCCACATTCACCCTTTCAAACACATTCACACAGTGATGGCAAAGCCCATTAAACAGAATTTAAACAATTAAACAATCTGCAACATCACCACTAGATGCCACTAAATCCTACACACTGGTCCTTTAAAGCAGTGGTTCCCAACCTGGGGGTCAAGACTCCACACACAGTTAAAGTTAAAGTTCTTAAAACCATCAGAAAACGTATTTCTGATCTTATATTTACAGGAAACAATCTGCTGAAAATGTATCCACACAGCTCATTTTACACAAACCTTCCACAGTGTTCAGTGTTCAGTTTGTGTTTGTGCTCATTTCACAGTTGATCAACCTTTCTGTACTGTTAACAATACTATATATATAAATATAAATATGTATATGTATAACCATAAAATATATCACTTAGTCAGGGGTTGTCAGTTTGCTCAATAATAGAAAAGGGGTTACCTTTGTTGCATGTCATTCCCTATCTTTCTCGTCCCCCATGTCATCTCTCTGCAAATAAAGATACTTAATCTGTCTCTTTCTGTGTGTGGAGTCTGTACTGCATACATACACAAATGTCAAACTATATCTTTAAGACAAATGTTACAGCTCTTGCATACGATAATATTTGAGTGTTATAGTGTTCTTCCAGATCTCTCTCAACAATCTGTATTTGTCTCTTTCTTGTTCCAACATGTCAATGCCCCCATGCACAAAGCAGCTCCATATAGAAATGGCGTTCCCAGGCGCCGGGTTAGCTCAGTCGGTAGAGCTGGCAACCCATATACGGAGTTGCTGCAGCGGCCCGAGTTCGAATCTGACCTGCGGCCCTTAGCTGCATGTCATCCCCTCTCTCTACCCCCTTACCTGTCTATCTTCAGCTGTCTCTGTCAAATAAAGGCCAAAAAAATTACTTTAAAAGAAGAAAAAAAAGAAATGGTGTTCCCAGTTTGTGGACTCTGACCTCAACCCATTCCAACACCTTTGGGATAAACTGGAACTCTGTCTGTGAACCAGACACCCAACATCAGTCAGTAATGCTCTTGCTCTTGTGAGCAAATCCGTGCATCCAGGTTCGACATCTGGTGGGAACCCTGAAACCAGAAGGGTTTGCTGTTTCAGCTGCACATTAATGGTCATTAATGAAGCTACTGTTCAGGTGTTCACATACTTGTGGTCATGTAGTGTATATTCACAACTTATTTTATATATTTAAGCAGTTCCACCTTAAAAATCACTGCTTCTCCCACGCTGTTGGACAGACAAAGGACGTCCCAGAGGGGCTGCGAGCCGAGCTGCTGCTAACGTTAGCTCAGCTTGTTTCTCTGATAACTTGAGATCCAGACGTCCTATGACTAAAATCCTTCATCAGGTTCAAATCTAGAGTTAAAAAGCTCCAAGATCTAAACAGTGGATGGTAACAATGTGGCTTCAGACTGGATAAAAAGTCAATGTATGACAGCTTCTGGCAGACAACCACAACACTGACACATGCACAAAAGGGATATGACGCCATTGACGTTACCTGATAAAATTGAGCCATTGACTTACATAAGATGGACAGCTCTCCAAAACTGAAGCCAAAATAGGAAGTATAGGTCAAAGCCTGCTGCCTCTATGTTAGTAGATGTTTCACCAGCTAAAAAATCTAAAAAAACATGTCAAATATATTTTTAACAAAGATTGTTTTTGTCATTTTAGGTCATTCTTATCACCCTGATGTTCATTCAAGTCTTCAATTTTCAGTTCTTCAATTTTCAGTTTGGTTTTAATTAGTAATTTAAAGCTATAGAAAATGGGGCGTATGGGCGGCCAACCCCGATCACTACTGCGCAGACTCTAGCTCCGAGTGGTGAAATATGGCAACATTCTGGATATTTTGGCTTCATTTTTCTACAACAGGAGGAAGTGAGGACGCAACATCCATCTTTTATAAGTCAATGGTTTGAACATTGTTGGAATCATATGGGATAATGTAAGAACACAAGTCAACTACATATAGAACATAGAGCTAGTGTTCACAGATATATTAATGCAGAAATGTTACTGATTATAGCTTCATGTATCAACTTCTCTTCTGTTCACA